TGGAGCGGGATGAAGGCGGGCCGGGGCGGCCGGAGGAGGCTGGGCCGGCGGGCCTCTGGGCGTGTGCAGAGTCCGCCGCCTTTCCCCCCCCGTCGCGGGGGGGGACACGGGAAAAGGGGGCCTCTGAGCATATGCAGAGTGCCACTGCCTTGGGAAGAGCCTTTCCACCCCCTCCGTCGCAGAAAAGGGGGGCTGTGGAGAAAGGGGCCTCTGAGCATCTGCAGAGCGCCCCCTTCACAACCTTTCCTTCCCAAAAGGATGGGGCTGGTGGGAAGAGGGCCTCTGAGCATCTGCAGAGTGCCACTGCCTTGGACAGAGCTTTCCCCTCCCAGAAAAGGGGGGACTGCAGAAAAATAGGGCTTCTGAGCATCTGCAGAGTGCCTGCTCTGCCAGCAGGATGAAGGCTGCCTTTGGGAGCTTGCTCACAAAGTGCCCCTGAGCATCTGCAAAATTCAGCTCAGATGGTACCCAAGGAAAAATGGGTTTCTGGGCATAGGAAGATTGTGTTTTTTTCTTGGAGCAAAACCATGGAACAAGAGTCATGCAGTTTGGAGGGGGTTGATGTAACTCTGCAAAACAGCCCACTTTTGCCCCCCCCAAAGACTTATGGTAAAACTGCCTCTGAGCATGTGCCGAGTGTCTGCTTGCTCCGGAGAAGGGAGAGAAACATTGTAAGACTCATTGAACTAAGTTTGACTATGAGTTCTGTGCTGGTCGGAGAGTCAGATGCCTTGATCGTGATCAGCAGGTCAGACTTTACAAAACTATTAAATTACAGCTAGCTGGAGAAGACTGGAAAATGTTCGCAAAATTTTTTTTTAACTTCTCCAAATTCTCTGCTCCAAACTGGGATAGAATTTTAAAGGAACCCCCCCCCCAAACCACTCCCTTTCAGCATAGGAAAATCTAATGTTTTCCAATTTGAAACGGCTTTATTTAAAAAATGAGAGGATGGGTTCAATAGCAGCAATTTGGTATTTTTTATTTGATTTAATTTGATTTTTGCCTCCCTGGCTGGGCAGGATTCCCTTCCTGGGGAAAAAAGAAATCCCTTCCCAGGCAGGGGAAATGAAATGTGGAGCCAGGAGGGTGGGCTTGGAGGCTGGAGAAAGGAGGAGCCCCTTTCTAGGGGCGTGCATGTTGCGTGGCACACCAGCAGCTCCGGGGAGGGACTTGAAGTGGAAGAGGGTTGAATCCCGGCTACTGCCTCTGGAGGATCCCTCTCTTCCCCCCTCCAAAAAAAAGAGTTAGTTTTCAAACTGAGGAAGTAGGGGGAAAGCCTCTTTTCACCATGTCTTTCCACTTCCAGGTTCTGCTGCTGATCTTATATCTGATCATCCAGGGGGGGGAAAGTGCAAAACAGAAAGGTAAGACCGGGGGGCGGTGGGGGGAGCAGGGGAAAAACTCAGCTCGTGTCTGGCGAATCTGCTTTGGTCCTCTTTTTAAATCTCTGCTCCGTTGCATTGGCCTTTGCGCTCTGGATTAGTTGATCTGGAATAAGCAGTCCACATCCTGGATTGCTCCGTGGTTGAGGTCTCTGGTGGTGGAGCCAGAGGTTGGGAGTTCGATTCCCCCCACTGGGACCTCCTTGACAGGGGCTGGACCGGATGATCTTATAGGCTCCCTTCCAGCTCTACATCTCCGCTGTGATGATGAGGATGCTGTTTTCTCTTCAACTCCCAGCTTCTCCAGGCTGCCTGTTGGCTTCTTTCGGTGTATTTAAAAATATTTTTAAACCCTCCTTTCTCCTTTAAAAAGGGCGCCATAAAAAAAGACAACGTTTAAAAACTAAAAACGTTAATCTTAATACAAATATTTGAAAAGTATTATATTAGGTCCTCGGAGTCTGTGAGGAGCAGATCTCAAGCAAAGGTCTCGGCCACCAGAATGCTCAAGAGTTCGGTCGAGGTCTGAATAATTTCCAATTCATATTTGCACGGATTGGTACTGTAGCTGGTTTGATACCTGGATGCAGAAGGGTGGGTTTTCCCGGAGTTTGCAATGGTTTGTTTCTCGCTGGCCGTCTTGAAATATTTGGGTTGAAAGGTACCATGTTCACACACGCCCGGTGAGGCGAGAGGGAGAAAGCACTCAGAGGGCGCCCAGATTACGCCCATTACCAGCCTGTCTCAAACCACGCTCCGCACGTAGCCTTTGGCAAAAACTTCTTATTTTTTTTGCAGGGAAGTGCGCGAAGCTGGATGCTCTACCAATCTTGGCTGTCTCTTAGCTTATTTTATACTTTAAAAAATTTTTAAAGCTCTTTCAAGAGGAAATAAATATCCTGTGCATTTCTGCCAAGGGTACTTTATTTGTGACTCAAAAGAAAGTTTAAAAAGAAGAAGAAAAGTAATTTGGCACAGCCGGGCAGCGTCATCCCTTCTACTAGCCTTTCCTCAGTCCAGTAATTTCGGCAGTGGCTCCTGAGACCTTTTTTCGTTCCCGGAGGGTCCAGGCCCCACATCTGTCTGTCAAAGAGGGGCACAAGCCTGGAATCTGTGCTGAGCATCACACAGCTGCCCTTTGGAATGACGTTCCCCTCACCCTCTTTTCTTTGCATTCATTGAAAAAAAGTGCTACACATTCTTTCCCTTTATATATTTCTTGCTGCCGTTGTCTGCTGAGGGAGACAAGGCAGGAGTTTAACATCTGGATTGCAAAGATTTTAGTTCGTGGGAGCCTTAATAAGACCGAGTGTCCTAATTCCAGGGGTGGGCGGCCAGCTGTTTCTGTTCAATTCACGAACAAGGGGCAACATGGGCCGGTAATGAGTTTTTTTTTTAATGCTTAGAAATAAGGACTGGCACAACAGTGTTATTTTCCTCTTGCATCCAATCTGGAATGTCCGGTGTCTCTGAGTCCTCCTGATGGACCCACCAGATGTTTGTTGCTGCTACAGCTGGATCAGGTTTCTGGACCTTCGGGGACCTTAACTGGCCATGGAGGAAAAATACCATTCCTGAATAATGCTGGGCTGTGTTGAGTGTTGGTCTCAGCCAATAACTGGCTCATCGGAACAGCTGGAATGGCAAGGGGGGGAAATACCCAACAGCCAGGTGTAAAAAGGAGTGAGAAGGTTGTTTTGAGTGACCACAGTTTCTAGATGCTTTTCCACTGCTGTCTCTTATCTTTGCCGTGGGACTGTTTTGCAAGACGTTGCTCTCAGAATTAACCGGAGCGGACCCGTCTCGTGATCCCTGCAACTTGCTCATGACGCTGATCCTATAGAAGAAGTTGGACTCCGGTTCCCATCAGCCTTTGCCAGCTTGGCCAGAGACGACACACGATGAGAACTGTAGTTGCTCCGTGTCGGGAAGGCCCCTGGCGTTCCCAGCCCGGACTAGAACTCTACAATGCAAAGTGTGGATCTCGAAGGTCATCAAGCCTGACCCTCCACGTTAAGGCAGGACCTACAACTCGGAGGCAAGCACACACCCTGGGGGACCGCTGTCCTTCCAGCCCCTTTTGAACACCTCCAGGAAAGAAAAGCTCAGCCCTTCCCTGAAGCAGACAAAAAATGGCCTGCAAGCCTGTTTGGTGCCTAACCCCCAGTTGGTAGCAAGAGTGGGCGATATGCTGACCTCCAGGTGTTCTCAGACTACAACTCCTATGAATCCATGCCAGCCTCATCCAGATTGAGATTGTTGAAATCAGACTTGTCCTGCTGGATGATGGCTCAGTGGTTTAGGCACCTAGGTTGAGAGTTCGAGTCCCCCCACTGGGCCTCCTTGAAAGGGGCTGGACTGGATGATCTCTGGGGTCCCTTCCAGTTCTGCCATTCTATGATGATGATGATGATGATATATCCAGAAGGCCAGAGGTGGCCCACACCAGTTTATAGCTATTGTTATACTATGCAGACTAAATGAAGTTTCTTCAAGATCCGTACAGCGGACCCTGCGGTGGCTGAGCTGAGCAGAACAGAGGCTGGAATTTCAGGATTTAAAAACCTCTGTCCCCCCCTTTCTACAAGGACATGAAAGAGGAGATGGGTCTGGGACCTGCATTGGTCACTGTTGAGTCTGAATGACATCTGGGATTGAGAACTTGCTTTCCGGAAACCGGGAGAGCAAGCCTCACGAGACAAAACACAGCCCCGTCCGAGATGGGCTCCCAATCTCTGATCTGTTTCCCTTGTATAAAGGCGAGGGTGGGGAGAGTGAAATATTGGCACCTGGATGCAAAACAGGAGTCCTTGCTCAAAAGATTTGTCTTTATGAAACCATAGCCAGCTGTTAGGCTTTTTTTTTTTACCTTCTTTGATCCGAACCCTGGCAGCAGATCACAGGTGAATGCATGAATGATGTTTCCTCTCTGTGATATTTCAACTGTGTCCAGCTTCCTATTTTCTCTTGAGTTCATCTTTGATCTTTGCTTTGCGGAGGGATGGGGGGAAGCCGTCCACTCAGTAGCGCAGACTGGGCTCCCGACAGATCGTTTAATTTATGGATGACATTGGGGTCCTTCTTTCCAACACAAGGGAATCTTTTTTTTCCCCAAAACCTCTTCTGCTTTTTCAAGAAGCAAACTTGAGGTTGGCAAGACACGAACGCTGACTTCCTATGTTCTGGGATACAAGAATTGCCTTCCAAAAAAAAGGGGGGTGTTTTGCTCCGGTGACTACCGTTCGCCTCCAGAAACCCCAAAGTGGAGGCTGAAAAAAAAAACAGCTTTTCTCTGTGGCTCGCAATCTGAACTCTGCCGGGCAGAGCTTAGAACATTACTTTGGGGGAAAAAAATAATGGGTTCCCATTGGCGGTTGTTAATCATCGGGGTGTTCCTTTTCCCTCCACCTCTCGGGTGTTTGCCCCCTGTTTCTTTCACACCCTCCCCAGCAAATATTCTTTCGTACAGATCTAAAAGGCTTTTTCTTAAGGGCGTTTGCTTTGTCATCATCAGCTGGAAGGGACCCTATGGATCATCGAGTCCCTTGGGGATAAATGCAAGAATAGAGTGGAGGTAGTTGGGTGGTTGATACGGGATGTGTGTGTGTCACCCAGGCGTTCTCGGACGGCCAGTTCCAGAAACCCCAACCAGCACAGCGGGTGGCAAAGGCTTCTGGGACCCGGAGTCCAGAAGCATCTGGGTGACCCAAAGGTTAAGAACCGCGGGGTCCATGGAAGGATAGCCCAGAGCGAGACCCTCTTAACTGTGCTTTCTCCATCCTCCAGATCATTTATTGGTTCTCACGGTGGCCACCGAGGAGACCGAAGGATTCCACCGTTTTCGACGCTCGGCTCAGTTCTTCAACTACAGCGTCAAGGTGAGAGAGGGGGGGGGGGGGGTCTGAATGGCACCTTTAAAGGCGCCTTAAAATCATTGCTGGCTCCGAAACCCATCAGGCCGCCCCCCCCCCCAAATTGCAAAGCAAGCTGTTCTATAACCTAGACGGGAAAAGCTCTCTGTGAACAAGACAGGCCTTAAAAGGTTGGTGGTTCAAACCCACTTTGTCCTAGACCTGTTTGGGTTTGTTTTCGTATCTGGTGGGTCTTCCAGCTGGTGGTCCTCAGTCCAGGTGGAGATTTTAATCTCTGCCTTTGAATTAGTTTAAAATATGCAAATGCCAGTTTGCTGAAAAGAAATGTAAAGGAAGCTTTGGTACAGAGAATCAGGATTCAGCGTACTATTTTTCTTTTTTCCCCATTTACCCCTGGAAGGCTAATTTCGTACCTCGGTACCTCCTGTTCCCTTAACTTAAATCTCAGTGGGTGCTTTTGGATTGTGTGCAAATTCGGACTTACCGAAGTCAAACATGCAGGGTGGATAAAAATAAAAGATTTTATAAAATCAGATTGAAATTTAAAGCATTGATTATTATTATTTTTGAAAATTGAAATCTAATCCACCCGGGAATATGACAAAGGTTTTATTCTAAACATGCTTTAACTCTGGGACCTGATCCTCCGTTTTTATTTTTGAAACCTCCATAGAAGGCTAAGCGGCCATTCCCAGCCTGGTGGTTTTTATCCCATTACTGACTTTTCAGTGGCGACAGGTTGGTTAGTTTAAAATTCCCAAATGCCGTGGCACCCAAGTAGAATATAAAACGGACGTTTCCTGTTTCGAAACCTCAGGTGCTGGGTCTGGGCGAGGAGTGGCGTGGCAGTGGGCAGAAAATCCGACTCTTGAAATCAGCTCTGGAAGAATACGTGGAGAAGGAAGACCTGGTGATCCTCTTCACGGAGAGGTGGGTGGCCGGGAGGAAAGCGTTCCGCGGCTCAAGGGGCCTGATTTCTGACATTCTGTTCAACTGGGAATGAGGGAACCTTTCGAAGTACAGAAACCGGCACGATCCATTACAAAGAGTTGCAGGAGGGGGTTTAGTTCTCTGGCTGTGGCCCCCAGAGGCTGGGGAGTTCAGTTCCTCACTGGGTCTCCCAGGAGTAGAGCCAGCCTTGGGGGGGAGGATCTCGGGCAAAATGCTGCACAGTCCCAGGACTGCCCCCCCGGAAGAAGGGAAATGAGAAACCACTTCTGAGTCATCTCTACCTGGAAAAACCTGGAAAAAGGTCACCGTAAGTCAGAATTGGCTTGATGGCAGATGACGATTATAGCAGCTGTAGGTCCAAACGTCTGGAAGATCAGAGTTTCCCTCGCGCCATGGCCTTGCTGTTAGGGTATGATGGGAGCTGGAGTCCGTTCTTCTCTCGGCAGAGACATTTCTTCATCTTTCTCTCTCTCTCTCTCTCCTTCCCATCTCGTTTCTCCCCTTCATAGCTACAATGTGGTTTTTGCATCGGGGCCCGTGGAGCTGCTGAAGAAATTCAGGCAGGCAAAGTCTAAGGTCGTCTTCTCGTCGGAGACGCTGATCTATCCAGACCGAAGGCTGGAAGCCCAGTATCCTCAGGTCCGGGAAGGCAACCGCTTCCTGGGATCCGGAGGTAGGAGGAAAAAAGCAGGGCTTCACCTTGAGCAGACGGGGGGGGGAAGGAGCGCTGAAACTTCAAGCTGCAGAGCGCTGAGAGAACCATCCGAAAAAAAGAATTAAAGAGGGCTTTTGGGGGGTTAGCGTCCAGCTTTCTTGTGATTTTAAGAGTCTTCGGTAGATTTTTTTCTGGTGAATTTTCCACGTTACAATGAACAGTAGAAGAAGCTTTTCCTTTTTTTTCCTTGCAGTTCAACGTTAGCCTCAGAATTGGATTGATTAAAAAAGAAACCTATTCTGCGGTCATAGCCTTTGGGGAATATAAAGGGAAGGAAGAAATGCATTTTTTTGAACCGTGTGCTGTAGAAGTTCGACAAGATGGCTATACAGAATGCTTCATCGAACAGAAAGAAACACATAGGGTTGAACTTTGGAGTGAAAAGGAGGTTAATTTTTAAAGGCAGATGTTTTTAATTGCCTTGGCTTATAGCATCTCATCAATGTGTCTTTTGTGTTTTGTTTTAATTGCCCTTCCTTTCTGCTGGATGAGGAGTCCTGCAACACTCAGAGGCTTGCACCCCTTCTGTACTGGCAGCCAATAGACTGGCCCAAGATAGTAAACATCGGTTCTGTTTCTTATCCTTTGGAACTGGAGAAAACAGCAGTTGTGTTTAGCTTTCTCCTCCTCTTGGCTTTTTAGAACAGTTACCGTGGCTTGCTTTTTGAGGCAAAACCCCCTGAAACCTTCATTCTCTGTTCTGTTAGGATTTGTGGGTTACGCCACGCATCTCAGCAAACTAGTTTCTGATTGGGAGGGTACGGATAGCGACAGCGACCAGCTGTTTTACACAAAAGTCTTCTTGGACCCCGAGAAGCGAGTAAGTACGAGGAGCCGAGTTAAATATGCAGGTATGTCTGCGATGCAGCCTTCCGGCTATTGTTAGACTCCGGTTCTCATCAGCCCCTGAGAGTTGTAGGTCCACCACCTCTGGGTGATGAGCGATGCATGTCCCAAACCATCTATGGCAAGAGGGTTGAGCTTTGGAAATCTCTTTCAAACGCTTATGTCTTTGTAATTTCCCCCCCCCTTCTCTGTGCAGGCAAGCATCAACATAACGCTGGACCACCAGTGTCGGCTCTTTCAAAACCTCAACGGCGCCCTGGGTGAGAATTTGGGAAAAAGGAGGAAGGACTTTTCCCTGTAGCAGTCACGATGGCCGTACAGAATACGCTCTGCTTCCACGGGCTTCTCAGCAAGGGGAACCCCACAGGAGATCCATGGGGGGAATGATGCAAAAGGGGGTCCGGATTCCTGGGTCTGCGTGAGGGTTCTCCCTCCATTTTCCAGGAATCTTAAACAGATCCGTCGTGCAAGTTATAATCCATCCCAGTGGGATTCCAAGATGGGGCGGTTCGTGGAAGCCGCCCCCATTTGGAAACACAGCGGCTTGGGGAAAGCTGCTGTAAGCATGGCCCCGCCTTGGCGCTCTGAGCATGACACTGTGGTGAAAGCGCAGTGCGAAATCCTCAGGGATGTGGCTAAGGAGGCCAATTCAAGAGGAACCATCCCTTCCACACTGAAGATGAACACAATCTGTCCCCAGTCCAGCTCCATGGTTTTGCTGGTTTGGGGACGGCCTCTTGGCCTCGGCCTGCTTGACAAGGGTCTCTTCAAATTGGGAGAGGCCGTGATGCACCGCCTGCCTCCAGGCTGAATGCTCAGAGATCAAGGTTTCCCATCTGTTGAGGTCCATTCCTAAGGCCTTCAGATCCTGCTTGCAGATATCATTGTATGCTGCAGCTCACAAAGCAGAGATCTAGGTAGTTGCGTAGTATATTTCCAACTCCCCTCTCCTGGCTGGCCTCTTGGACTTCCGCATAGCTTGGCGTTAAAAAGCCGGCGTTGGGTGTGGACACTTATGTCTCCATGCAAGTAGCAACGAAGATCTGTGCCCGAGGGCTCGGGTGAAAGCTGCCATCTGGTCGTCGGGTGGGGGCCGCTCGGCTGAATCACACAAAAGTTTGCAGGGCAAAAGACAGGCCTCCAGCTGATAGGGCGAAGCTATCCAGGTTTAAACCCGCCAGCAGTTCTAAAGAGGTGCATTTAACAGATTTATTTAAAATATTAAGTTTGCAGGGCAAAAGACAGGCCTCCAGCCGGTCGGGCGAAGCTATCCGGGTTGAAACCCACCAGCCGTTCTAAAGAGGTGCATTTAACGGATTTATTTAAAATATTTTCATCCCGCCTTTCTCCTTCAGAAGGACCCAAGGCGGTTTACATCATTAAAAGACAATATTTGAAGCTAAAATCAGTAAGTACAGAAATATTTTAAAAGGATCCAACAAAGGTCACTCTAAAAAACAGCCCCTGCCCCAACAGCTCCCTCTGAAGTGGGGCCACATGGAAGGCAATCCATCATTTGGATACCGAAGGGTCTTAGGGTTCTGAAATTTGGGGACAGGTGGTTGGCTTGTGAGCATCGTCGGGCGGGTCTGAAGCCAGGCCGAAAAGCAGGTGGGCGAGGAGTTCTATTCATCCTGGTCCTTTGTCTTCCCTCGGAAAGATGACGTGGTCCTGAAGTTTGAAACGAGGCGGGTGAGGGTGAGGAACCTGGCCTTCGACACTCTTCCGGTGGTGATTCACGGCAACGGCCCCACCAAGGTAGGTGAGCTCTGTCTAGAGCCCTGGTGTTGTGTCAGAGGATTCTGACCTGGAAGGAGGCGTCTTTTCTGCATGGCCAGAGAACCTCCAGAGTCGCTGCTGAACAAGCTCACCTGATAAAAGGTAGCTTCCTGGGCTCCGAGGTTAAAAAATGGATTATTTTATTGAAAGAGAGCAGGGGCTACCCATCTGGGCATCAGCTTTTGTGCACATAAACCCCTCCCCCCACATAAACACCCTATGAAGCCAGCCCCATGCTGATCACAGGCGAAAATCTGTCATTCAGATTGTCCGCCAGCCCTGAATGCCGCATCCTGGCATCAGCAGGGCGAGACCAGCTTTCTCTTTCCGTTTCATGAAGGACCAACTCCAGCCTCTCTCTCTCTCTCTCTCTCTCTCTCTTTCTCCTCCCAGCTGCAGCTCAACTACCTCGGGAATTACGTCCCCCAGGTCTGGACCTTCGAGACGGGCTGCACCGTGTGCGCGGAAGGGTTGAAGAGCCTCGCGGACGTGAAAGTAAGGAGCGGGGAAGGTCCGGCGAAAGAGGCTGCCGAAGGTTGCTCTTTTGCTGGCTGGATCAGCCGTCCGTGCCTCGGCCTGGAGGCCTCCAGAGTGTCCAAGCTTTGTAGAGGGGTTGCCTTCCTCCTGCTTTGATATGTTTCCACCCCCCCCCTCAAAAAACAAAGGAGTGAAGTTTGCCTTCGTTAAGTTACAGTGATTAATGTAATGAAGCTGTTTCTTGCGAAAAGAAACTGGAGGAACTAGTTACTTTTAGTGTAAGGGATCTATAGCTTCTCCACTGGGAAAAGGAGTGAATGACAACGAACTAGTTACTAGTTCCAAATTTGATCAGCTTTTCAGAAGCTTCCATTTGACTGGTTTTAAAGCCAGTCCTGGATTGGACAAGCTCTTTTCTCCTGAGGCACAGGAGCCGTTCTGATTTTTTTTCCTTCTTCCCCCCCCCCCCCCGCCAATCCTCCCCGGGTTTCAGGACGAAGCGCTGCCACTGGTTCTGATCGGCGTTTTCATTGAGCAGCCGACCCCATTCCTCACTCAGTTCTTCCAAAGGCTTCAGAAGCTCCACTATCCGAAGAGACGGATCCTGCTGTTTATCCACAATCATGTGAGTGGCATCATCCTTCACAACAAAGCCAGTAGAATGTATTTCTGGGAGAGGGAAGCCCCTGTTAGCTCAGCCAGCTGTGAAAACCGTTTGCTAAGGCCAGCCATGTCAAGGCCTGCCTAACACGCCTTTCCCCTCTGCTTTGCGTGCAGGAGAAGCATCATCTCCCCCAAGTGGATGCGTTTGTGCATGCACACGGGCAGGAATACCGCTCGCTTAAAGTTGTGGGGCCCGAGGACCACTTGGAGAACGCTGATGCGCGGAACATGGCCGTGTAAGAGAACCAAACGCTCGTCCTTAATGCAACCTATGCTTGAACTGCTGAATGGTTCTGGGTAGAATTGTGTTGAATCCTTCTGTTTGTGTAACGGGGTGGCCGTCGTGGATGGGGTCCACGGAGGAGACAAGCCAAAGTCCCGTTTGTCGGCCGTGGGCAAGTTCTGTCATCTTGGCCTCCGCCAAGAGAGATCGGGCTGGTTCAAGAATCGGAGAAGGAAAGGACGAAAGCAAACTCTGCCTTGATGGATCTCTCGGTTCTCTCTCTCTCTCTCTTCAGGGACTTGTGCAGGCAGGACCCCGTGTGCGAATACTACTTCAGCCTGGATGCCGAGGTGGTGCTGAAGAACCCAGACACCTTGCGGGTCTTGATGGAGCAGAACAAGTGAGTTCCATGCCCCGGTTCCCCGTGGGTTTGGCGAGGCTGTGGAGAAGCGCAGGTTTTCTTACTCCACATCGGAGCACGTAGCTTTCGAAAGAAAACTCTCCGGAGCTGAACTGGCTATTTCATTTTAAGCCCACCCAGGCTGATTCTGCAATTCAGGCATGAGGGAGGGCGCCCCCATATTTCTAAAGGGGAAGAACATCAGTGCTTCTTTGTTTTAAGTAAAAACGGAGTAAGTTTCTAGCCCTTAGGAGGAGGTGATGCTTGAAACTGGAAGAGCAGCTTCCCAGAGGAGAAAAATATACCTCGGAGCAAAAACAGAGAAAACTATAGGAAGCCAAGATATGTTATGTGCCTATCTTAATATGGGCAGGTTATGGGACACTTGAACTCGGTACACAATGCTCAGCTTTGCTTTTTTTGCAGTTCAGAGTGGAGATAATTCCCAGTCAGGTATCTCTAGCTCTCAGGATCACACAGAACTCATGCTTCACTGTGTCTGTCTCTTCTCCCCTCAGGTTTGTGATTGCCCCACTTGTAAGCCGCCTTGGGAAACTGTGGTCAAACTTCTGGGGGGCCCTGAGCGCCGATGGCTTCTACGCCCGCTCGGAGGATTACATGGATATTGTTCAGGGCCGGAGGGTGTAAGTGTCTTGGACCATAGGTGGCTGTTAAGGGTCATTCACCCTTCCAAAATTCTCCTCCTTTGCTTGAACATCACATTTCTCTGTGTGTGTGTGTGCATTTCCTCCTAAAATACCCATTTCCCACATCTCCCTGGAAAGGTGTATGCATCTTTGAGCGGAGAATGGCCTTAGAGAAGTCAGAGATGCACACAGCCTATAAGTTCTGATATTAGAAATATGCTATATAGATATATATTTTTAAATGGAGCCCGATAGATCCTTTTTAGTTTAGTAATCAATCCCTTAAAACTCCAGAGCTGATTCATCCTCGAATCCAATGCTTTCCAACCTTGGGTCCCCCCAGATGTTCTTGGACTACAGGACCCAGAAATCCTGGCTAGCGCAGCTGGTGGTGAAGGCTTCTGGGAGTTGTAGTCCATCGGGGGGGCAAAGCTTGGGAACCACTCACGAGAGCTAATTGTTTTAGAGGGGAAAGGATGTTTCATTTGCTGATTCCTTGCGGTGCTTAATCCTTTTTTCTTTCCCCCCTCTCGCTCCTTTCTAGCGGCCTCTGGAACGTCCCCTACCTCTCGAGCGTCTATCTGGTCAAGGGGAGCACCTTAAGGGCTCAGCTCATGCAGAAGGACCTTTTCCACAGCGGCAAACTGGACGCCGACATGGCTCTGTGCCACAACATCCGGGAACAGGTTGGTGCCACAACCAGGGAGGTGTGAGGAATGGGGAAGTTTTATCCCAACACAAACAGCGGCTCCAGAGAGTGGATTTTTCTTAGAGTCGCTCAGAAGGAGGTCTCAGCCCATCTCTGGTCAGGCTCCTAGGGATATCACAGTTGACGTTGTGTGCTTTTTTTAAAAAGCCCAGCAAAGATGCCTTGAACCACACCTAAAATGCTCCTTTTAGTTGCTGTTCTGGACGTTGACCTCCTGAGGCCGTGGGATCTCAACCCCCATTGGCCCCTGAGCCGGCCTCCCCGCAGGTCAGGATGATGGGAGTTTAGTTCCCGCAGCATCTGGAGATCCGGTGGAATCTGCAGGCCCCGCATGGCCAGGAAAGCCACCTGGGCGTTATCTGTGGGCCAGCTTCTCCCGGCTCCCCGTAGCCCCCTGATGAGGAGACACCTCTCTCCCCCCACCCCCTGATGTGCTGCAGGGCATCTTCATGTATCTGACCAACCAGCAGCCGTTCGGACACTTGCTGTCCCTGGACAATTATCAGACGAACCACCTGCACAACGATCTGTGGCAGATCTTCAGCAACCCGGAGGTGAGGTGCGAGAGAGAGAGAGAGAGAGACTGCCTTGAGCAGGGGAGAGAGAGAGAGAGAGAGAGAGAGAGAGAGAGATATGCACGCACAGAGAGAGACTGCCTTGAGCAGGAGGTCAGGCTTGATGTCCTTCGAGGCCCCTTTCCCATGCCATCATTCTAGGATTCTATTCTCTGAGCACAAATTCTGGGTAGATGGGGGGGAACTCATGATTTTCCACTAGGACACCCGGTGGACTTAACCACGCTGTGCTTAGAAGAGTATGTATGGGGAGGGGGGAGTTCAAGGCAGGTTCAGCTCCCTCCCAGTCTCTTTTTGGGAGGTTGGTGGGGGTGGTAAAGGAATGGAAAACCATCTCTGCCCCCTAATTCATCTTTATTTCCTCCTCACAAAGGACTGGAAAGAGAAGTACATCCACGAAAATTACACTGCAGCCTTAAAAGGGAAACTGGTGGAAACGGTATGTCGTTCTCATTTCCTGTGGCTCTTTCCGTTGAGTGCGGATGAGGAGAAGAACAGAGAAAGGGGATCCCCACCTTCGTCAGACTGGGGGGGGGCTGGAATTCGTGGCTCAGAGGCAGTGCGTGAGAAACGAGCTGGTAGAGGACGATGGGGGTTCTGATCTCATTGGGGTAATGGTCCTGCTTCCCGAGTCCAAATTTCCTGAGTCCGGGAATGGGACTCGGCATTTTGGATAGCTTCTATCCAACAACAGCAAAAAAGTCTTGGAAGGATCACAAAAGTGACAGTTCCTATTCTGGACTTTGAAACTCTCTCGGAAGTTTTACTCACCTACCTCTCTGCTGTTGTCATGCCGTTGCCTCTGCCTAGCACGGATTGGCTAGTGCTAGTGATGTCCATTGAAAGCGACAGCTGTGCTGGGGCTTTATTAGATAATTTTGGATTTGGAGATATGAGAGTGCTGCCTCCAGGAGAAGGCCTTAGGCGATTTGGAGATTTATCTCACTTAATCCCCCCTCCTATCTTACTGCTGAAGCACTGACCGCTCCTCTGTCTTTTTAGCCTTGCCCAGATGTTTACTGGTTCCCCATATTTACTGATGCAGCTTGTGATGAGCTGGTAGAAGAGATGGAGAATTTTGGCCAGTGGTCCAGAGGGGACAACACGGTAAGGCAATGTTACAAATACCTCCACTGAAACCGTCCTTGCCATCAATCCTGGTTATTATTTTATTTTTATAATCATATGGATTAGAACTGGGGTGGGTAGGTGCAACTTTCGGTATTTTCTTTTACAAGGGCACTTTTCATTGAAAGGGGGGGTTAGAAAGTTATTTGCAATAAGTAAATACAGTTACTACCATGTTTTCCCAAAAACAAGACTTAACCTGAGAATAAGCCCTAGTATGATTTTTCAGGATGTTTGTAATATAAGCCCTACCCTAAAAATAAGCCCCAGTTAAGTGAAACCCCGCCCTCCACTATTGTGCAGCAACCTGAAGAAGATATGACTGGGAAATAAAACATCCTCTGAAAATAAGCCCTAATGCATTTTTGGAGCAAAAAGTTAATATAAGACCCTTTCTTATTTTGGGGGGAACACGGTAAGTGACTTGACCGTTAGTCTGAGGTACAGCAAAGGCCTGATTGGGGGGAAAGAGCAGCTCAATGGCCTTTATATCATCTGCTTTACTTTTATCCTTAAGGACTGAGTTTGGGTCCAACTAGACAATACATTTTGGTCCTGTTTTGTGCAGAAATACTTCCTCGACGACAAGAGACCTCTGTCATAGCCCCTGCTTTTCCTCACCTCTGTATCTTGCATTCTAACATGCTTTGTCTTTCTACTAGATGGCTGTCTTGCTCCCCTTGGCCTTCCCTGTCTGTTTCGACTGTGAGCTTGAAGGCGTGGACAGTTTTATTTTAAAAATGCCCATTGAAAGGCAAGGTTCGCCGAGAACCTTTCCAGCTGGGGAGCAGAGTATAAACGTTTTAAAATCAAATCAGATCCTGATAAGAGTTTGTATTGATTTTGTAGGACAACAGAATTCTGGGGGGCTATGAGAACGTCCCGACGATTGATATCCACATGAACCAGATCAACTTTGAACGGGAATGGTACAAGTTTCTTCTGGACTACATTGCACCCATTACAGAGAAGCTGTACCCTGGATACTACACCCGGGTTAGTGCCTTTTAAAAACTTAAAAAGAGACCCCCAAATAGCAGGAAAGGACATGTACAGGACATGAGCTAAAGACCATGAGTTACCTAGTTAGCAGGCTTTGGAGGCAAAGATGGCTAGCGAGAGAAACCATACAGAGGTGTTTCCATTTAAAAACATGTAATGCTACCGTTCTTCCCTAAATACTGTGGTCTGTCATACCTATTTCACTCCACAGTTAGCCTCGGAAAAACCAGTCTTGGCCCAGACGTCCGGAAGGATACAGCACTGATTGGCTGGTGACTGGGATGTCACCATCTCATCACAAAACAGTTTTACAAGCTGTTGAGCACGGCTCGTTCTTTAAAAATGCCCGAGGAACCTTAGCTTGGATGAAACTAGGAGGGAAGCTAGGAGGAAAAAGCAAGATCAGGAAGGGAGTCTGTTATCAGAATCCTTGGTACAGGAATGCCCGGCAGGTTTTCCCTGCTTTGTCTGTGTTGCCCAGGGGTGCTCCCAAAGCCTTTCTAAGGGTTCCTTCTTCCCATTCAGACCCAGTTTGAGCTGGCCTTCGTCGTCCGATATAAGCCGGACGAGCAGCCCTCGCTGATGCCCCACCACGACGCTTCCACCTTCACCATCAACATCGCACTGAATCGCGTTGGGATCGATTACGAAGTAAGTACCCATCGAGGTCTTTCTGGCACGCCTTCTAACTGGAAAGAAAGCAAATCTTTAGCCAACAAAGGAGAAAAAATTAGGGCAACTAGATTTCCTAGTTCCTAGTCCTATACTTTAACTAGTACACCTCACATGACGGTGTTTTTCAAATTTCTGAAGGGCTGCTTGTGGTCCTGGTGGGTAGAAATGGCGGGGAGTGGTCGGACACACAGAAAAAAATTTCTGAAAGGTGAGGATTGTTTTGTCGGCTGGAAGGGATTTTGTTCAGCTGCAAGATTCCTGCACGGAGAACAGGGCTCGACTAGATGACCTCCGAGCTCCCCATTGCATGTCAAATTCAATTCCTCGGCTCTCTTGGGCTCTCTCCTTCAACCCTAAAGTTCTTCTCTGTTCTTCAATTCTTTTCTCCTTTTCCACTTTTTTTCCCTCTTTCTCTAGGGTGGTGGCTGCCGCTTCCTCCGTTACAACTGCTCCATCCGGGCCCCTCGGAAAGGGTGGACCCTCATGCACCCGGGGCGCCTGACGCACTACCACGAGGGCCTCCCCACCACCAAAGGGACCCGCTATATTGCGGTGTCGTTTCTTGACCCTTAGAGCCGCCTCTTTCGGAAGGAAAGGATAAAGAGGAAGGAGACCTTCCCTGCCAGCTTCAACCCTGGACCAGGAAGAATGGAAATCCTTCAGAAACCCAATGGACTGGACTGGATACGGATCCGACGCGTTCTTGAGAGCCCATGTTTCGCCCTGATTACACTCTGCTGTCTACTTCCAAAATAGCAGTCTTATCAATAATTGTGGTGCTGGAGGCAGCCTTTATCCTCTAACTGTCCCATCCCTCTGATTAATGCTGGACACGATCCCTAGTTTCCGTAGTTTTTCATCTTTTCCGTGAGGTTTGTGTAGGCAAGCTTCCCCAACGGGGAGAGAGAGAATCCCTCTGGCCATGCTCAGCAGCACTTTTGCCCTCCACTTTGGGTAGGTATTTCCTTCGCATGCCCACCTTTCTCCAGAAATGCTGGATCCTTGGAAAAAGGATGACCGTGCCTTCTGAGCAGAGTTTGTTTCATCTCATGTTGGAGATGCAGCAACAACAACAAAAAAGATAGAACGGGTAAGAGGAATAGCAAAAATGCCAAGCACAGTTTCTCCGTGGTGTCCCCGATTTCGTTTCCTCCTGAACGCTGGCCAAGAGGAGGAAAACCAGGCATTAAAATTCTACCCAAAATGCAGAAACATGGACAATGCCTCAGTGTGGGCTGGATGCCCTACTTCTCATTTTGATGTGAAGTGCCCCTGCACCACCCCCATACATATTTATTTAAGAAACTTGTCTTGTATGCTAGGATGTGTAGTTATTTTTCCTCCCTCGAACAAGGTGTACAGATTTCAACCAGAGATTTTTACATTAAAAAGTTCGCGAAAACAGCCGCCTGTCTTGATGCTGTCGATTTTCGTCATGGGGGCTTGATGGGAGATGTGTTTTTGATGTTTCCCGGGATGGGCGGACAGGTATTGGGAAGAAAGGACCCTTCTCTCCCTATTAATATTTCAGACCCGCTTTGCGGGAGGAGATCTCTAGCAAGCAAGCGATAAGGAACCTATGCTGTGAAAAAACAATAACTACCATTTTAGAGGTAGCAACACCGTGGCGGCTGTTGTGGGAAACGAGACATGCCACCCTTTTCTGGCAAAGGAAGAGGCAACCCGGTTTTTCCCCAAGCCCGGCATAGTCCTGCTGTTGGACTACAATGCCCATCATCCCCAGCCAACGCAGACTGGATCTTTCCCCACCTTTAGGGCCGTGGGGCAGCGCAGGGGGCCCAGCTGTCGGGCAGCAAATCCCATACTACACACCTCTTGCCCATGGCTGTGCTGACGGGGGATCATGGGAATTGTAATCCAGCAGAGACCCCCCCACTATGTTTCGGATGAATTTGGGGGGGTTCTAATTGCACAAGATGTATACCAAGACCATGTGCAGAGCGCAAGCCCTTCTGTGGGGTTTAAAGAGAAGAGGTTCAGGCTCTTTCCGAGCAGCAGCCTTTAGCCCCCCTCCCGCATCGCTGACGGACTTCAATTCCCATGAAGCAACGGGGCAGGGGGCGTCGCCTCGGCGGTGACGTCATTGTCCCTGGCGCTCCCTTCTGACGCTACCGGGGGGGTTTGGTTCCTGCTCGCGGCAGCGCAGCAAGAAGGTGAAGGTGAGAGAGGGGAGAGTGCTGAGGGGGGGCAACGCGTGTCAGGGGTTTCACACGTTATGCTCGGCTTCTAGGCACCCACTTCTTCTGTACCTTAGACACTCTTCCCGGGCCATCCTTCGTGTGAAGGAGGCCTCTCCCTTTGGAGGAGAAAGGGAAGGGAGTGTCACTCACGTGTGCAGCGCACGTTGGAAGGGGGCGCCTGCGGGAAGGCGTGTCAGGTGCGTGTTTAGGGCGCAGCTCCTGCTAGGTGAGTTTAATGCACGCGTGCAAAGCAGGTGGCACTTTTTGGGGGGAAGCGGGTCGCTGGTGGCCCCCCAGACCCCCCGAATATTGATCTGCATCATCGGTTTCTTTTTGACATTTGGCTCCTCTCTGGGTTGATTTCGGAGCTGCCGGCCCGGATGGATGGATGGATGGATGGGTGGGTCTCTTGTATTCTATAGCATTGCAGAGACACTCTTGTGGATTCAGCATTGGGCATTCCAGGTTGTGATTGCCAGCATAAAAACCCACATGCCCGCAACAGGTACAAGAAACTGGGAAGGTGGGGGTGGGGGGTAATAGGTGCCTGTCTCAGATCTGCCAAGGCAAGCATTGGAATCTAAAAGTGTAAGTCTTTCTTTTTAAAAAAAGTGCCTCCTCACCCAAGTTTCCTCTAGTGCTTTTCCCAAAATCAAAATATTGGAAATATAATATAATTCTTCCAATAGCAACTGAAGGCAATTAAATAAAGAGGATTGAGCTGCCCCAGATAAAGGGAGATCAAAACCAGCAGCAGAATAAGAATGAGGTGGAAGTGGACTTTTTTTTTAAAAAAAGGTTTTAAAGTAAAAACACAAAGGGGGATAATAATTGTGTGTTTTATGCAGTAGGGAAGGGGGGGAAACTGTGTTTGCAGGAGAGAGGAGAGACAGATGAATGGGGTGGGTGGAGGTTTCCTAGTTAGCCCCCCCCCCCGGTTGTAGAAGCCAAATGGAGGATATATTTTGTGGCTCCCTTATGGGAGAGCCCAGTGGCGCCGGGGACAGGCCGTGTGGCCGGGTCATGTGCCTCCTCTAATCTGACTGATCTTTCCTCCCGTCTTGGCAGGGTGGAAATTGGATTCGGCCAAAGCCCGTCGGAGGAGGCGGACGCCAACCATGCCCAGCTGGTGAAAACCCAACCCGTATCTTCGAAGTAAGCCGGGCACCTTATCCGGGGGTGGGTGAGCGGCCGGGGCGTGAATGCTCATTGTTTGCATGTAGGACTCCGCCTTATCTGGTCTGTTTTTCAAGGCCCAGGGTGGGGGAAAACCTTTTTGGCCTGATGCCTGGGTGTGTGTGTGTTCCAGCAATGGGGCAGGATCAGAGCGAAGCAAGCGTGAACCCTGCCTAAATTTGACCCGTTCAGACCAACGCAACAGCATTCAAGGGTACAAAACCTGAAGCATCTGATATATATTTAGAATTTTCCTATAGGGGATTTGATAAGAGGGCGGTTGCAGGGGTTCCTGGCATTTCAGAATTTGCCATGACACCCCCGTGATCCTGCATTCCCAAAAGGGACCAAATGGGTGTTCTCCCTTCCTACCGGCTTAACTTTGACGCATGTCCCTCTAAGTTAAAATGCTTTATTCCACTTTTTAAACCGGCTGGGCTAAAGATGGGATCATTTAAGGCTGACAGCTCGCTCCATTTCTGCCTCCTGAACCCATCGGGCTGAGTCGGTTGCTTGGGATGGCTTTTAAACATCACTTTTTTAAAATACCAAACTAAAGGGGTCTGGTGGTTCTCCACTGGAAAACTGGAATGGCTTTTAGGGGAACTGGGAGAAGGAACAGAAGACACTTGCTTTTATAAAACAAAACTTTCAGCATCCTTTTTTAGGTCTCTGGCGTGAATCGGATGGGTTTGCTTTGTGTTTGAACTGGGGGATAGGAAGGCACAGCATTTGAATCGCCCCTGAATCATTATTATTATTATTATCCTATATTAATATAGGATCTTCCACTGCTTTCTGTTTGTGAAATAAGGATGAAGGGCCTTGCTTTTTAAAATTCTGCATGCAAACAACACAGAAATGTTCAGAGAAAACTGGCCTGCTGCCTGATTTTGCCTGTGTTACCTAGCGGCTTGCTACTTTTGAGCCAGTGTTACCTAGCGGCCTCTCCTCCTCCCCGTCTGGCCCTCCAGCGCAATGTCCCTGCTGTTCACCCGCTCCAACTCCATCGTTACCACCAAGAAGGACAAGAGACACATGGCGGAAGTCAACGCCTCCCCCCTCAAGCATTTCGTCACTGCCAAGAAGAAGATCAACGGCATCTTTGAGCAGCTGGCCGCCTACATCCAGGAGAGCTCGGCCTTCTTGGAGGGTGAGTGGGCCTTTCAGGGTGGAGCAGCTTGCCCGGTTGCCAGGGGTGAGCGGAAAGTCCGGGCAGGCGAGCGAACAGGGTGGCAGAAGAGGGGACCAAAAGCAGCCTGCCTTCAGCAGCCTATGTTCGCTTATCGTTATTACTTCTAATCATCCTAGAATGGCAGAGCTGGAAGGGACCCCGGAGATCATCCAGTCCAGCCCCTGCCTGGGAGGCCTAAGGGTGGGGAATCGAACTCCCAACCTCTGGCTCCACAGCCAGAGACTTAAACCACTGAGCCGTGTGTAGAAAACACATACCCGGTCAATATCAGAGCTTGGAAATTACTAAGTCATGATTTATTCTCTGGACTGGGAAAAAAAAAAACCCTGAAAAACATCGTAAATTAATTTCTGAGTCCTGTAAGATCTTTTCAGTATTGACAATTGTTTTTACACTACTGTAATTACGGTTTGGGTAACTTGGATTGACTTAAGTTTTTGGAGGTCGACATCTTAGGTGGCCTTTTCTGTTTCCGTTTGGTGGTGACGTGTATTTAGATTTTTTTCAAAATTATTTATTTGCTGTATGTTTTGCCTCATCGTGTAAATCACCCCGAGTACTGTTCCCCCTATGTTGGGCAGTTGATGAGCCCCATCCGTCCACCTGTCAGTCAAGTCAATCAATCAGTCGGTCAGTCCATCGTTCTTTCTCGAGTTCTGCTGAGTCAGCTGGAGAGGCAAACTGCCTCCTGCTCTGAATCCGGTTTTGGTTTTGGTTCCAGAAACGCACAAGAATGTGGATCTGGACCCGGTCACCACGGAGGAGCAGCTCCTGGAGGTCAAAGGGTACCTCTCCAAAGTCCATGGGATCAGCGAGGTGCTGGCCCGGCGGCATATGAAGGTGGCCTTTTTCGGGCGGTGAGTCGGAGCGTGGGCAGGAGGGAATTTGGCACCCGGATCCGAGGGCAGATCCCGGAGACCGCTGTCTCGGGAGTCCACGGGTCCATTTCTGCGCCAGAAGCTTGCCGGTATGTGTGTGTGTGTGTGAGAGACGGTGTGTGCCAGCTTTGTGCCAACCCGAATGAGTCATTCTCTCCTTTTTATTCTTGGCTGACCGAATGAGTCCCCCCGTATTGTGAGCAGACGGGGGCCTTGAGGGGGCCCCCCAAGCCACAGTGGGCTGAGTGTCTGGTTTCAGATTATAACTCTCAGTGGGCAGGCTGGCTAGGGGATGATGGGCCTTGTTAACCCCCCCCCCCAAAAAAAGCTGTTTCCGGCTCTGTGGGCCATGAAAACGAACCTCTCTGCTTGACTTGAAAGCAGAGCGCAGAGAGGAGAAAAGCCAGCCACACCACCTTGAACTTTTAAAGGTGGGAGAAAAGTGGGATATATATCGTAATAGTGGATCTAGAGGACTCCAGTTTTGTGGAGGCAGTGAACCCGCTCCGGATTTTAGCTGTCGAGGCTGTCCAGCAGCTTTTGGAAACAAGATCTAGTGCCCTGGATAGGTTGCACAAAGGTTGGATTAGCCTCGGAGCGCTGAACTCATTTCTCACGAGTCGTCAAGAGGCAAGGTGAGGCCACGGGATGAGAGGCCAGATGGGGCAGTGGACGGCTCCCAACCTTGCAGGGGGGCTCTGTGAACTGGCTCCGGCTTTAGTTTGGAGAGCTCCCTTAAAGTTCAGCCCAAAATCTGGGGGGGGGGGCAGCCTGCCACCAGGCCAGCTGGGGGACCCCTTTCCCTAGACAGCTGGGTATGAGAAAAACAGCCTAAAAGTGGACAGGAAAGAAAAGTCAAGTCACACCTCCCCATCTCGTTCTTAGGACAAGCAACGGGAAAAGCACGGTGATCAACGCCATGCTGTGGGACAAAGTCCTTCCTTCCGGCATCGGCCACACCACCAACTGCTTCCTGCGCGTTGAAGGGACCGAGGGCCACGATGCCTTCTTGCTGACTGAAGGGTCGGAGGAGAAGAAGAGCATCAAAGTAAGGCTGTTATTCTGGTTGGCCGAGTGGACATTTATGAGGGGGGATCTGATTCTTTTTATTCAATGGGGGGGGGATTGCACCACTGACTTCTACTTGCGTTCTAAATGTTTCTCTCTTTCTTCTCCTGCATCAAGACGGTCAACCAGCTGGCTCACGCCCTCCACCAGGATGAACTCCTTACAGCTGGGGGGCTTGTCAGCGTCATGTGGCCCAACTCGAAATGCCCCCTCCTCAAAGACGACTTGGTTTTGATGGACAGGTGGGCAAACCCTCTCTCTCTCTCTCTCTCTCTCTCTCTCTGTCTGTCATGGTTTGATCCACTTACCTCTTGAGGTTAGGGCTTGGGCGAGCGTCCCGGATCTGACGGTTGCTAAGCACTTTGTAAATAAATAAATGGCTGTTCCTGGGGGGTGGATACGAGCTAACTATTACATGCGTTCTTTTTTGGGAACCTCCTCCCGCGTCCGCCGAGCGACCTGGCTTAGCAGGAATTAATTTGTCGCCTCCTGCTCAATTCTCCAGCCCGCTAATTGCAGCCAGCTTATCTCTCAGGGTGATTGAGATCCTGGTTTGAGATTTCCACTTGTAAAGTCTTTGCCTTTCTAAATCCCTGGGGGTTAAGCTCATTGTTGGCTGCTCAGTTTCCTTGCCTTGGTTTGCCTATTCTCCCAGGATAGGTGATGTAGTCCTGATAGAACAGGACAAGGCGTTTATTCCCTGTTCAAGGATTGTTCCCACTTTTCTGCTAATTCCCCTTGGTGCAGATGGTGGCATAAGAGGAAGCCAGGGCTCACGAATCATAAAAGCCACAACTTTTAAAATATACATAAATGAAGACCCATTGGCTTCGCAAAAGACCTGCCCTCCATAGAAACGAACATTGGTTTGTCGATCCATCCAACCTGCTGTTTATATTTTTGGATTCTCCGTGAGGACGGTTGCAGATGTAGGAAATGTTTTTTTCTCCGGGGCCTCTGGCTTGAAGGGCAGTCGGTCACTGTTGGTTCTTGAGAGTGTGACCTATTCTTCTATTCTTGCAATGGTTATTCAAAAAATAGGGTTGCCCTCCTCACGATGCTTGATTCGGCCACCCTTTTGTCTCGTTTATTCAGCCCCGGCATTGATGTGACCACTGAACTGGACAGCTGGATTGATAAATACTGCCTGGACGCAGACGTGTTTGTCCTGGTGGCCAACTCGGAATCCACGCTGATGCAGACGGTAATGCGTGGCCGCCTTTTCGGCCGAACCTCATGGGAGTGTGTGTGTGCACAGGGGGGAGTCCAGCCTTCAGGAGAGTTCGCGAAACTCTACGTTCTCCTGATCTGTGCGGGATCTAGAACAGGGCCACGGAAAGCTCAATCTGTGGCCTGTGAAAACGTCCCCCACCCTCCACGTCAGCCTTTGGTTTTAGAAGCAGCTCTGGGTGAAAAGTCACGCGAACAGAGCTTGGAAGAAACCCTATGCAAATCATAGGATGGATTAAAATAAGTTTTAAAAAATTCTGAACAAGGTGCTATGAAATCCTGTTTTATATTTCAAAAGAACAAAGTTACTCTGCTGGAGGAAACAACCAAGGGTTCCAATTATTTTGGGGGAGTTACCTTTTTTGAGAAGTGCTTTGAGCGAAATTTCTGCAAGGTTCGGAACATCACAGACCAGGGCAGCTGGCAGAGGTGGGGAACCCTAGAGGCCATCTCTTCCACCCGCTCTTGATTCTCCTCTGACCGCTAAAGGCACAGCGCGGGTGGGTTTTATATTTTAAAGTGACAGGAACATAACGCACGGTTCCATGAAGAAGAATTAAGAGCTGCTTTTTAATGTCGGCACCAATGTTGCAAGAGAAGTCCAGGATCGCAAAGGAGTCTCAAAACGGAGTCATGGGTGGGAATTAACTTTTAAAAAAATAGTTTCTTCTCCCCTCCCCCAACCCACCTCTGCCCGGTACAGTTTCAAAAGGAAACGAGGATGAAAGAAGAACAAAGGCTCACTTCTGTGAGACGCTTGAATAGCTTTTGCAGGCTGATCTGGCCATTTCATTTCATTCCGTTTTTGTTCGCAGGAGAAGCAGTTTTTCCACAAAGTGAACGCCCGCCTCTCACGGCCGAATATCTTTATTTTAAATAACCGTTGGGACGCTTCGGCCTCCGAACCAGAATATATGGAAGAGGTGAGATGTTCCCCTTCAAGAAAGAAGAATCCTATGAAGGGAAAGCACCTTCTTAAAGAAAATATATATGTTTTTTTCTCTTAGGTGCGTCGGCAACACATGGAACGGTGCACCAGCTTCCTGGTGGACGAGCTGGGAGTGGTGGATCGGGCCCAGGCCAGCGACCGCATTTTCTTTGTCTCGGCTAAGGAGGTCTTAAGCGCCAGGATCCAGAAAGCTCAGGGGATGCCTGAAGGAGGTGAGGCCGCCGTGGTGCAGCCGAGAGAGCCTACGTTCTTATCTCTAGTGAATCATGAAACTCCCCCAGTCAGAGCTGTGAACTCTCTTTTTCTACTCTTTCAGCCCGGCCTACCTCGCAGGGCCGTTTTTCCTTGGGAGGAAAAGCGGGGTATAAATCTGTCGCTCATTAAATAAAAAAAACAGCAATGGTTTGGGGTAATATTGATCGGCGGAAACCTTAAATCGGCGGTGCCTGCATGCGAGCATCTCCTGAAATCCTCACCGTGGGTTTTGGTGGCTCTTCTTCCCAGGGGGGGCGCTGGCCGAAGGTTTCCAAGTCCGGATGTTCGAGTTCCAGAACTTTGAGAGGCGTTTCGAGGTGAGCCCCGATCTGTCCAGTTCCAGCATCCACAGCAAGCAAGGCAAAGGGTTTGTGAATAAATTGGAAAGGAGGAGAGACTCTTCCCCGCATTTGGGAGTTCCCTAGATCCGTACCCAGAATGACTCGAGTTCGTCCCTGGCTGTCCCCCAGTTTGTAAGATCAAACGATAGAGGATGGGAAAGAGGTTTTGTTGACGGTGTGTAATAGATTGGTGACCGGCTGCCAGCCAGAGCCGGTAATGCTGGCCTAGATAGATGTGGAGATGGTTTCCTTGGTGGAAAGGACCATTCTCCGTCTCTATATTTTATAGAGTGGGGACCTTTGGGGACTACAGCACCCAGAGCCCTCCTACCCACTCAGCATGGCCACTGGCTCTGCAGACTATGGGATTTGTAGTTAATTTTTTAAAAAGGTTGCTTCTGTGTTCTGACTTGTGTTGGGTCGAAAGATGGCCTTATTGATGTCCATTCTGGAACACTGGGGTAAAATTTAGCCCTTGTGTTCACTCGGTTGGCAGCTGCTACGGTTTTCTGTCGATCTTCCGCTCCCGTTGCAGCTTCTCAAACGTGCCCTCTCTTTATTTCCTGCCAGGAGTCCTTGTTTCCTCCTCTCTGGCGTCAACTCTTTGTGTAGGGAAAACTAATTAAAATTTCCTTGTTTCCAAAATGAAAGAGAGAAAGGACCATTCTTCGTTTTTAAAAATTTGAGACAAGGAAGCTTAGTGTGTGTTATCGTGGCTGAGTTGAACGGAGCAGGTTTCAGAGTGAAAATCTTGATTTTTAAAAATATCAAGGAGCTAGTCCTCAGGTTTGAAGGTATATAAGGGTATATCCAGTGAAATATTTTTAAAAAGGAAAAGCATAGGGCTGAGTCAGATTTCCAGAATCTTTCCACGTAACTTAGCAGGATTAAATTCTGTGATGCAACTTTGTATTTAAAAATTTAATGTCGCGTATGCAGCATAATGAAACGTTTAATATATTTAATTTAATGTGTGATTTCATTGGTGGGGCTTAAAGCCGGCTGTAGACCTGAGATCTCCCGTTTCCTTGTGGGCTGATTTTAGGAATGCATCTCGCAGTCAGCGGTGAAGACGAAATTTGAGCAGCACACGGTGAGGGCCAAGCAGATTGCAGAGGAAGTCCGCCATATCATGGACTCGGTCCACGTGGCCGCCCAAGAGCAAAGGTGAGTGGCCGGGGAACCCCAGAAAGAACCCTCGTGAAAAAAAGAGGCATCTGTGTTTTTCTCTAGGCGTCCACTAGTTCTGCCACCAGGAGCAGGTCTTTTGTAGAGGAAATGGCTCTTAATGACCGGATTCAGTGTAAGGCGGTTTCTTGCTGTTCCTCTCCCACATTTCATGTGTTTCCCCTCTGCTCAGTTTACTGCCTGGAGATGCGAGAAGATCGCCAGGAGCGTCTGGGGTTCATTGACAAGCAGCTAGACCTCCTGACCCACAATTACAAGCAGAAGATTAAGGAACTGACGGAGGAGGTGGAGAGGCAGGTGAGGGAGGCTGTGGGTGGGGAGGGGGAAGGACAGCCGGCACCTCACCTGGGAAAGCTCGGTGGGGATCTGGACTCTTGACTCCGGGCTCCTCCGGCCATGGGCTCCAATCCACCGAGCCGCACCCGCTTTCCCTTTTCGGTGTGTACGCTCCTATCCGTCTCCTCTGTTTTTCACGGCGAGTAGAACTTTGGTTCTCCTTCCTGAGGAAGGAGGGAACGCAACCTCGGCTGCGATTCCTCGGGCTTTGCGGTCCACCCTGAGGCTTCCGGTTGTCCCTTCAGGTGTCGAACGCCATGGCCGAGGAGATCAGGCGACTCTCCGTGTTGGTGGACGAGTTCCAGCTGGATTTTCACCCGTCTCCCGTGGTCATAAAAGTTTATAAGAACGTGAGTCCCAGAAACGGAGGGGGACAGTTCTTTCTCTCCCATGTTGGGTGGGGTTTAAAAGCATCCGTTGTAACATGTGTGCCTTTTTTAAAAAAAAAATTCTTAACAACATCCAAATTGCAGAGAACCCTTGTCTTCTTGGGTCATCATCATTAAACAGATATTTAAAGGTTTCGTCAGCTGTCAAAACGCAGCGGTCACTGAGCGCCAAACTCCACTGAAGGGACCTCTCTAGAAAAATCTCAAGAGTTACATGCCACGTTCCTGGCTCTGCTGGCCAGGATGTTGCTTTGGCTGCCTCCTGGCCACGGAGAGGATGTTTCCGTGGGACGTGGGCCTTTCTTGAACACCCTGTGAGCTCAGCCTCGTCCTTTCCAGGAGCTGCACCGGCACATCGAGGAAGGCCTGGGCCGGAATATGTCGGATCGCTGCTCCAGCGCCATCACGGCCTCCTTGCACGCGATGCAGCAAGAGATGATTGGTAGGTACGCCCTCGCCAGCAGGAAACAGCACCTACTCTGCCAATCACTGCGTGGGAATGGTGACGTGGGAAGCAGCTTTCCCTGACAGATATCCGCCCACCTCCAGGAAAGGAGACCGCCACATCCTGATCTGTGCTATGCTGGTTTTTTAAATCTATCTAGAGTGGGAACCCCTATATCTGGGTGATTGGTTCGAAGCCCCCCCCTTCCCTGTGGATGCTGAAAACTACGGATAATAACAAGCACTAGCAGGGTGAAAGAAAAAAAATCCAGAAAAAAGTATTTTCACCATGTATTACCAGAACGGACCACTAGAGGCAGGCTGCGACCATACTACAGTGGTGCCTCGCATTACGATGTTAATTCGTTCCAGCGAAATCGCTGTAGAACGAAAACATCGTAAAGCGAAATTTAAAAGCCCATAGAAACACATTAAAACCTGTTTAATGCGTTCCTATGTGCTTGAAACTCACTGTCCAGTGAAGATCCTCCATAGTGAGGCCATTTTCGCTTCCTGTGCAGCCAGGAATCCGTCCCAGAAAACAGCGGGGGGCCATTTTGTTTACCTGGCAGCCATTTTGAAACCGCCGATCAGCTGTGCGAAACTCGTCGTTTTGCAAGAATCAGTTCCTGAAGCAGGGAACCAATCATCGCAAAGCCAGAAAACCCCATCGCAAAAAGAATCATCATTAAACGGGGCGCCCGTCTTGCGAGGCACCGCTGTACAGTATATGTTTCTTCCTGGGATATATTCTTCAGCAAGAATATAAAGAATGGTCTCTGGCTCCCACTAGTGGCTAGTTCTGGTAAATACATTATCAAAATTAGTGATTTTTTGCCCTTTTAATATTTTTAATATTTTCAGATAAGTGAAACTGTGGGTATTGATCTTGTGGATACGGGTGGGTCCTACTGTAGTTTTAATGATATTCAAAAGGTAAACGTAAGGGTAACAAGCAAATCTTAAACCCAACAATGTTGTGGAGCCAGGTGCCAACCCCGAGCAGGCCCTGTTCATGTTGGTATGTGGCTCGTGGCTGGTTCCACGCTCACCTCTCTTCGCCGTCTTCCCACCCTTTCAGATGGTTTAAAGCCCCTCCTCCCGACCTCCTTGAGGGGCCAGATCGACATGCTGGTCCCTCGGCAGTGCTTCACCCTGAGCTACGACCTCAACTGTGACAAGTTATGCGCCGACTTCCAGGAGGACATCGAGTTCCACTTCTCCCTCGGGTGGACCATGCTCGTGAACCGGTTCCTGGGGCCGAAAAACTCCCGGCGGGCCTTGATGGGCTATAACGACCAGGTGAGGGACAAGAGGGGTGGGGTTGAGGGTGGGGATCTTGAAAGGGCAGCCGCTCCCCCCCCCAAGTTCCTGCTTGGGCTTTGCTGGTTAGGGAAGCTAAGATAGAGCCTTCATGCTCAGGAGTAGTCTATCTCGCCACGAGAGAGTAGACTTCCATAAGAACGAGCGCTTCTGATGGAGAGGCTGAGGGTCCTTTGATGGCTTTCACGCCAACGATGAGCTGGAGCCCTCCAGATATTATGGGGTGGGAAGGATTTGTTGGGAAATGCGAAGTGCTGCGTTGACTCAGGACCCTCTCTTTCCTCTCCCTTTTTTTCCCCTCACGCCTAGGTCCAGCGCCCCTTGCCGCTCACCCCGGCCAACCCGAGCCTGCCTCCGTTGCCTCAGGGGTCGCTGACCCAGGAAGAGCTCATGGTCTCCATGGTGACCGGTCTGGCCTCTCTCACTTCCAGGACTTCTATGGGCATCCTCGTCGTGGGAGGAGTGGTAGGCCGGGAGGCCGTTTGGGGCCCAGAGATGCTTTTGTGCTTCCCCCTCCCTCCCACCTGTCTCCAGCCATACCTCATACTAGGGGGCCCCCATGTAACGCTGGTTCGCTATGGCGCACAGACTCCGGCGGCCATTTTGTGGTGCTCTACCTGAAAAGAGTTACAGTGGACCTCCAGGAGACCGGACACCTGGCCTACCTGTATGGCACCGTGACGGTAGACCAGACCTCCAGAATGCTTGGCATAAAGTACTCTGTTCAAACCGTCCTGTATAGCGCTATTTCAGTTAGCGCTCTGTTTCCTTGGAAATGCATCCACTTGGAAATTAATATCCACTAAGCAGGATATTACAGTATCTTCCTTGGGCAGCAGTTCTTGTGAATGTTACTTGTGATCTTTGAACACTTCCTTCTTTTACTCTGTTCTCTTCCACATTTCTAGGTCTGGAAGGCTGTGGGCTGGCGACTGATCGCTCTCTCATTCGGCCTCTATGGACTCCTTTACGTCTATGAGCGCCTCACCTGGACAACTAGAGCCAAGGAGAGGACGTTCAAGCGCCAGTTTGTAGACTATGCCGGGGAGAAGCTCCAGCTGATTGTAAGCTACACAGGCTCCAACTGCAGCCACCAAGTTCAACAGTGAGTATAAGTTTTCATCAGGATTTCCAAGGCAGGCGGTAGGGCAGATAAAATTTAAGCACTGGCTTAAATTCATATGCAACGATAAGCCAGGATGTGGTTCGTTGAATTTCAGCTTGTTGGTCTATCTGACTTTGTATCGTGGAAACAAACCACAGTTTGTTGGCTGCAAACCACAATTAGAAACCCTAGTTTGTTGTTTGTCGGCTGACTGTCTTGGTTCCTTTGAACCATGGCTTGTTGTTGCACCTGCATCCAGAATCGTGGTTTGTCCCTGGCTTGTCTCTCCACCGACCCACCCACTGTGAAGTAGAAACAGATGAGAAATGGGGGAAGCAAACTAAAAGCCTTCAAGAATACATTAAACTAAAAGCTTGTTTAATTATGTGAAGAATGATTCCTACAAAAGCAGCAAGCCATTATTCACGTAAACCATGGCTAGCCTAATAAATGATGCTTTAGCACAATGTGTGAACCTAGTCAGTGTGTGAACCACTTTTTTGAACCAATTTTTGAACCAACATTCTGCTTTTGAGTTCTGCCTTGTTTTTAAATTTACTTCTCTCCTTGTTTTCCCCTTTTAACTAAAAACAAAACAAAACAATTACGTGGAAAAGGGAGCTTGCTGGAACCTTTGCTCAGCTCTGCCAGCAGGTCGACGTGACCAGAGAAGATCTCAAGAAGGAGATCAACATCCTGAATCAAAAGATTGAGATCTTGGACTCGCTGCAGAGCAAAGCCAAGCTTTTGAGGTATATAGTGTTCCGGGTGGGGGGGGTTGGTTTTACCTAGTGGCGTTTTGGGGGTCTGCTCTCTCCCTACGTTTTGCAATTCCTTGTTGGGATATATTTCTGCCTCTCCTGTGGCGGGGCCTCCTGCAGGAAGCAGGACGGTTTGCATCTGTGGGACTACAACTCCCATGATCCCTGGCTGCCTGGCATTAAACTCTAAAAAGCATCAGCTGTTAAAAGTTTTTTTAAAAAATCAGGTTTTTAAAGAGTGTTGTATTTTAGATTATATATTTGTGGTGAGGTTTGAAGATCCTTTGGAGAGCTGAGGGCTTTAAGCATCTGGCTGCAGAGCCAGAGGTTGGGAATTCGAATTCCCCCCACTGTGCCTCCCGGGAGAAGAGCCAACCTGGGTGGCCTTGGGCAAAGGCTGCACCGCCTGGGTGGCCTTGGGCAAAAACTGCACCATCCTAGGGATCCCTCCCCTCAGAAGAAGGGAAGGGGAAACTACAGTGGTGCCCCGCTAGACGGTTACCCCGCATGATGTCGAAATCGCTTAACAATGACTTTTTTACAATCGCTATTGCGATCGCAAAATGATGGTTCCAATGGGGGAAATCCACATTACGTTGATTAGGAGCCTGCTTCGCGAACCATTTGTTCGCTGTACGATGAGTTTTCCGGTTCCGCAAAATGGCTTCCCTCCCTTCGCAAAATGGCTGCTTTCCAGACCCCTGCTTCGGAAGACAGCGATTTTTAACAGGTGATCGGTGGTTCTCTATGGGCAATCTTCGCTGGATGATGAGGTATTTCCCCATTGGAACGCATTGACCGGTTTTCAGTGCATTCCAACAGGTTTTTTTTCCGCTTGACGACAATTTCGATTAACAGCGATTTTCCTGGAACAGATTATCGTCGTCAAGTAGGGCACCACTGTATTTCTGAATAATCCCTACCTAGAAAATCCTGAAAAGGGCCGCCAGAAGTCAGAACTGGCCTGGCAGCACACAATTGTGATCATTTATTCCTTTGCTTCTGCCGCATGTCTTTTATAAACAGTTAGGAAATGGCTCAGAAAATAAAACGCCTTTCAGTTGGTTGAGCATAATTCCATTTCTCTGCTGGGGTGCCATTCTAAATCTATTGATGTTAAGGGTTTCGAAAAGAAGTTTCCTTTAGTGTTCCACATTTTTGCACTGTGATTTGTGATTGTGACCCGAAGTTTCTTTTCTCCCCCTTTCCCCCCCCCTTTTCTCTCTCTCTCTCTCTCTCCTTTGCCGGTCTCGTTCCCCCTCTTTCCTTGCAGAAATAAAGCCGGGTGGTTAGACAGCGAGTTGAACATGTTCACACACCAGTACTTACAGCAGAGCAGATAAAGTCACCGAAAAGGCGCCCGTCGCTTACTCACCCACTCGTAAAAATAAGAAAGCTTCAGTGGGGCCCACGTGGACACACAACCCCCTGCTCGTTTCTCTTTTTGCTACCAGGCAGAGAGAATCCATGCCATGGCCCCCCCTCTGCATGTTTTCCCTTCATCGGTCCTTAAATATCCTTTATTTTGGGACACACACACAACCCTTGTTCTGGAATCGTCCTTCCAGTCATAATAATTGGAGAAACCCCTGTGATTGATTGTACACGGGCAGAACTCCGTTTGCTGGTCTTCGTTAATTAAGAATGAAATGTTAAGACAGAGATCTGTCCTCGATTCATCTCCCTTTTCGTTGGGCCTGGGTTCAAGATCAGCCTCCTTCCCAGATGCTGTCTCAGTGGATGAATGTCTTATCGGTTCTTCAAGGAAGTCAGAAAGACGGCTTAAGTTAAGAAGGTTTCTGAATGTTTTCCTTTTCACTTTTAAGTGTGTTACGCAGTTGAGGAGCAAAGTGGTTTGGGAAAGGACTACAAGTCCCAGCATGGGATATGTAAGCTGTGGAGGGATACGGGGGGGTTGTAGTCTGGGAGGTAAAGCCCATCATCCACCACATCCTGGCCTGACTTTTGGAGACTTGACAAAAGCATCCAGGTGGGATTGAAGTGTGAGCTAGGATGTGTGGCAGCTGGGCTTTTTAGTACCTTAGTAGATGGGGGGGGGAGCAGAGGGCTTGGATTGGGTATTTTTCATGCAGATCGTCCAGAAGTTGAGCCTCTTTGGAGTTCATACGGAATAAGATGGATTAATGTCCCGTCTTTGCTGCTTTGTCGTTCTCTTTTCCTCTTGAGAGGGATAGGTTTTGCTTTTTAATTCTCAGTCCATCCTTCATGCCGCTGGTCCTCATGGAGGCCGCAGAAATACCCCAAGCAAAGGCTGATGGGAATGGTAGTCTTAGCAACATCTGGAGGGCCGCGTAGTCTCCCTCCCGGTCTACGGGCACCCTGCACCACGTTACCAGCGCAAGTAAAGCGTCCTACAGAGCAAGGAAGCCAAAGGTTCAGATCTATGACCTCAAACTTCCAAAAGCATAATGGGAATTGTAGTTCAGATGGTTCTCACCCATCTCTTCTGCATAGTGTTTGAGCATTTATCTCTTCTCTGGAGAAACATAATCTCTGTAGCAGTTTAGGAACACAAGTGTCCCCAGGGCGGGGGTGGTGGGAATCCCATCAAAGAGAGGCCATTTTCTTTGTCAGCGTCAGAAATTATTCGTTCCCCTTTTCCATGAACAAATTTCTCATCTCTGTCCCTAAAAATGTACTTTTTTTTCTCTCCACCTGGAATGGATCTTTTTCACCTTCCAGCCAATGCGAGACACAGGCTCGTTTCTTGACTTTGACAATGAATTCTGCCATGAGCGACAAAAAGCTTGATATTAAAAATTAAATTAAAAATTAAATTAATTTTTAAGATTTAGCCAAATGCACTTTATTATTATTTTTTAAAATTGCTGCTGAGTCGACTACGTAATCCACATAAATGCATTATTTTCTTTTCTTTTTCATGGGTTTAAGGGGCTCTTCAGAATCCTTCCAAGCGTGCATTTTCTATCTGCTGTATTTACGGTGGTAGATTTCCCCCCCGAATATTTTGGCATGAAATATTCTTCTTTGCTGTATCAATGCTGTTTAGATGGAAAAGTGGAATAAAAAAAGGAACTTGAGCTGGATAAAAAAGCGTCTTGAGGTTTCTTGTATGGAAATTAGTTGGTTAATGTCTTGTAAGAAAAATCACTCTGGTACCGTTTTCTGCTCCGATGCTGGTCATCTTTGCTTAATGTTTCCCTTTTTAAGCACGGTTTACTTCCTTAATTAATTAATTTAAAATATTTTTACCCTTTCTTCTAAGAAAGAAAAGGAGCCAAGGCAGCTAACGTTATTAAGGATCATAACTTAGTTACAGTTTCTTGAACCCAGACCCTTTCTGGAGATGTTGGATAATTAATTAATTTAAAATATTTTTACCCTTTCTTCTAAAAAAAGAAAAGGACCCAAGGCAGCTAACGTTATTAAGGATCGTAACTTAGTTACAGTTTCTGGAACCCAGACCTTTTCTGGAGATGATGGGTCACAGCGCCTGGGGAATGATGGGAATTGGAGTCCATCACATTTAGGGAAAGCCAGGTTTAAGGCAAGCTGTTATAAATCTATGCATAACCGTGGCATGAAAACTATCTCAAAACTGCCATCTGATTGATATGATGCTTTTCTCCATCATTTGAGCATCTTGCGGATTAGGCTGACCAAAATTTGCACACTTCTAAGAATGAATTATGATGATGATGATGGGGGGTAACGGAAATTGGGCCGCGGCCCCTTTAAAAGGGAAAGCGGCCGGCGGTTGGGCGCGTTGCATGCTGGGCTGGAAAGGAAAAGGCGAGGGAGCGCTGGCCAATCAGGGCGCGTTCGGAAGCTTGGCGTTCGATACATAGTAAGATCAAACAACCGACGTCCGGAAAAGGTGAATGGGCGAGTAAAGGGGCGTCCCTTTGATCTTTGGGGGTGGCGGCTCGAAGTTTCCAAGCCTGGGAAGGGGTGTTTTTTTTGGGGGGGGGGAGCTGGGAAGAAGCTTGTTCTAGGCGGTGGGCAGCGTTGGAAACGTTACTTTTGGGGAGGACTACATAGCCCAGTATCCCCCAGGAGGGGCGAGGTAGGGGGGTCCTCTAAAAAGTCTAAACAACGGGGCTGGACTCCAGCTCCCATCAGTGGGCACCGAGAGTGGGTGGGGGACGGTAGCATCCTCAAGAGCAGCCGTCTGGCTGTGATCCTGGAGGATGATGAATGGATGACGAGACTGATATTTAGGGCTTTATCTCCAGAAATAGGAATGGAGGGAAAGAATGAACGAAACGGTCCGAAAGAGGCGGTCCCCTTTCCTAACTGGGCAAGTGCATTAAAAAAAAACAACCCAAATGCTAAAGTTCACCCCCCCCCAAGAACCTCAAACAGAAGAAAATAATTTTAAAAATTGAATAATCAATGCCGCTAACTAGTTATCATTTTCAGCCTTTTTAAATGTTCAGTTTCTAATATTTTTTTAATAATCAAGGACACAGAATTAAAAGCTTCACTGTGATTACGGCTTGCCTGTTTTTTATTATTCCAAATATCATGGCTGTGATTGCCATTTAGTGTGCTGGTGTTATCATCCTCATGTTCATCATCCTCATTGCAAAAATATCAGTTTCCTTGTCCACTCTCGGAGCCGGCGGTGACAAGATGGATCTCGAAAAGCTCCGTCAGTTGAACCAGGAGCTTCTGCACAAACTCAGGACGAACCAAGAGGAATTCAGGAGGCGCATCCAGACCCAGCCGGCCTCGCCATCATCCCAATCAGAAAGAACTACCCTGCAGGACGGGCCGGTCTTGGAGTCCGAGGATGGGGTAGGTTGACACGATGGCTGGATGGTCTTAATTAAATTTAATTAAATCTGTATTCAATCCAAAATGCCCTCTGAAACCATCCTGTAGGCCTTCAGATCTGTTGGTAAAGGGTAATCAATTAATTTGGATCCATAACTGAGCGAGGATGCTGGTCGATATAGGATATTCTCTGGCTTGACGTGTTCATTTCCAGGGTGGAAATGTAACTAATCCGTGGATTAAAACGCTTGCATTCCAGAAAGAGAATCAAAACTGGCTTCCCGAGGAGGGACTGGACGTGGCGATGCCTGCTGAGTCACAGCGCAGGGTCACAACGACAGGATCGGGGCCCCGCTCTCCCTCAAAACCAATCCCGTCTTGCATCAAACAGCCGACGGAGAGACCACGCCAGAGGGGGTTGCACCCCGGTTCCTCCAATGCAGAGAGGATCTTCGTGCCATCCCCGGAAGTGCCCCGAGGGGTCCGGGAGAGGCGACGGAAGGGGGACGACACCCGCACTCAGAGGCGCCGGGGGAAGCCGTCTGAATCGGGTAAAATCCAGGCCAGCGCAGAGAACTCGGGCCCAGAGGCTGGCGAGGAACCGGATGAGCCCCACGCCGACAGAGCTGGCCAGGCGAGAACATCTGCTCGGATGCCCCCGGGGCCCAAGTCGATTCTGCTCACCCCGCGGGGCGATGGGGCCAAAGAGAAAACAAAGGTGGGTTCAGATTTCGCTCTGGTTTGGGACCCGAAGGTTCTCTTTGGGGCGGGGGGGGGGTTGGCAGCTGGCCGACACCAAGCAGAAAATGCCCAGCTCTGCCTTCTCTTGCGAATTCTCCCTCGATAACAAGTCAATAAGAGGCCATCGATTTTTCATAAACCCCTGGTTTGAGACCTGCAATTAAAACCGAAGAAAGAAAAACATATTTAAAAGCTCTTCCCATTTCCGACTTTGGCCAGGCCCCCTTGAGGAATATTTGCCCCCCCCCGAGCCATGATCCAGGGTAGAAAAATGCCCGTCACGAATGTTGCCCATCTAAGCTTAGCAACAGATCTGTTCCTTTGTCCGCAAAACGGCTTGGGTTCAATTCCCAGAACCCCCAGCTGGAATTTTGAACGGCTGGCCAACCTTGCAGGATCGTTCTGAGGATCAAGCTGGAGGCGGTTGCTGCCAGTCAGGGCTGGCTGTGCTGGGCCAGACGGCACCTAGAGGGCTGGCCGTATATCAAGCAGCTTTCTTTAGACCTTGCTCTTGCCTTGATAGTCTCCCTGGGTTGGTCCTCACAGCTTTATTATAGAAGTAGTCTTCCGCGTAGCTTTTATTTTTCTCCTTTTCCAGAAGGAAGCTGGGCATGTGACGTTCGTGTCCGACCCCGAGGAACATACAATCCCGGCAGGCGACTGGTCGATCCGCCCTTTCCTCGGTTACGACTGGATCGCTGGTGCGAAAAGGGCTCGCTTTCCTTCACCCCATGAGAAGTTCCCGTCTGAAATCAGTGGCAGAATGAGTCCCCTGGGGCTGGAGGTCTTTCTTTAAGCATTGGATGGGGGAGGCCCTCCAGATCGAAGGATATGGGGCAGCTCACGAAAGCTTGAATGGAGCCTCCTTGTGGGAGCGCAGTCTATCTGTGAAGGCTAGCACAGAGCAAATAATAGGATTTTTCTTCATGCTTCCTTTTGGGATTGGTCGGAGGGGGAGGTGGACATTTTGTAGCTGATGTCAAGTGAGTCTCCTCCATTTGCAGGAGTAGTTTATCTGTGAAACCCCGGGAGCCCATGGAGCAAAGTGGAACTTTTTGTCTTCTCTCCCCTCCTCCAAACACAAAGCTAGACAAAGAGACTCGCCTGATTTCTCGTTCAGCCCAGACTCTCTTTGTAGCTTCCAGCTTGCTCTTGCCGACTTTCTCGACTTTCTCTGTGTTTTTTTTCCCCCTGCCAGGGATCCTAGAAACAAATTCTTCCATCTCTGAGAAACCGGAGCGGTATTTTGAAGAACTCCAGGACTTCCGACGGGTGAACCGAGACGACTGCATCTCTGACCGGGACTCACCGTAAGGCAAAGTACCTTGGTAGTGGCCATTAGGAACTGTTGGCTTTACAAAAGACCTCCTCCTGGTAGAGATGTGCCATGGGTGCTGAAAAACATGGTCTATAGCAAACATTATTGTAATAGCCAATGCTATAACTAATATGATCTCTGATGCTCAGTTCTGGTAACTTTATTTAAAAAATTCTTTTTTTAAAAAATTTGATGGGGCATTTTTCTTTTAATATTTTAATATTAAAATATTTGATATTAGTATTTCCAGACCATGGATAAGTGAATCAGTGGATACTGATCCCGCTGATAAGGGAGTACTGCTGTATTTTTCAGAATGATTTCACTGATGGCCACATCTCTTACGGTCACGATTCTTTCTCTGCAGGTTGGACGGATTGGGTTCTTTGGGGACAGATCGCGAACCGGACCTGAACCCGGCTTCCCATCAGTGTACGGTCAGACTACAAAGCCCATCCGCTGCGTGGGGCTGAGATCTAGCTCATGCTCTGGGTTAGGAGGCGTTTCTTGGGGGCAGAGGGAGGGGGAAAAGCCTGCCGACTCATTGATAGAGCACATTGTATGGTCTGGCTTCTGGCTTAACGCTGGTGTCTTGAGGACTAGGACCTTGGAAAAAGAGGTTGAAAAAAAGGCTCATTCCACGGTGTGGACGGTTGAGGTGTGACTTGTAGCCCTCTTTCTTCCTCTCCAGGTGTCTTCTGCTACCGGTTAAACAAGCGGCTTTTTGCTGAGCCCCTGGATCCCGAATCCGCCTGCCCTGTGTGCAAAACCCCCCGCACTCAAAAGCCTCCAGAGACTTTAGTAGAACCGGCCTTTGTCAGGTGAGAGTCTGCGAAGGGCAGCCAAAACTGGTGAAGAGGAAGGTCTTGCCTCGTAGGCGAGTCCCAGCGGATCTCTCCTTGCCAGGAAAGCCAATACGAGGCCATGCCCTAAAAAAAATCTTTCTTTTCCTGCCCCAACATCTCCACCTGGAACGGTGGGCTTCCCGGTGGGCTTCCTCTTTTGCTCGGCTCCGAAAGCACGCCAGCTCCGAGGGAGTCGCAACATCTCCACCTGGAACGGTGGGCTTCCTCTTTTGCTCGGCTCTGAAAGCGCGCCAGCTCCGAGGGAGTCAGTGGATCCTGCTTCCCAGGGTGAAAATGTGCAAATGCAAGGGTTTCCCCCCAACCCCAGGAATTATCTCACAGAAGAAGCAGGACTTAGGGCATATACTGTACATTTGGGGATAACAAATCCCATCATCCTCCAGCCAGCGTGGTCCTGGGTGATCCCGTCTGGGTCGAGTGGGTTCCGGGAACGGAGACTTCAAACAAGGAACGTTACTAAGTTCTGGGAAGAACAATTTTGATATTTCCCCCCACTCTTGGTCGCCTACGGTGAATCCTTAACTCTCCAGAGGTGACAATGGAACCCGCATGCCTGGAGATTTCTAACCTCCCTTTCTATGTGTGTGTGTCAGTGGGGGACGTTGCTGTTTATGTTCTAGGGTTAGCATCCCACGATCGACTCTCCTCCCAGCCTACAAGCACAAAATCCATCGAAGGAAGAGCTACGAGGTGGCAGACAACCTGGCGTTGCCTTCGGTGAGTTTCTCATGTGCAAGAGGGTGGTCTGTCGATGGGGGTGGGGGTCCCGCCTTCCCTAGCAGATCCATTTCCCCCCTCCCCAAATGCTGCCCCACCGATGGGCAAAGAGTAGCGTCTTGGGATCCAGTGCTCCCCCTCCCAAGGCTGTTTCTCACCTGGCACTCCCCACAAAAATTTTCCTGCCCAGAAAACAAAGGGGGGGGACATCAAGAGGAACTTTTAATTAGGGCCTGACCCCCTCCCCCCCCCCGTGAAATATTAGAAGCAATTGATCTCCTATTTTTAGAGTTCTTTTCATGCAAATCATTTCCTCTGTTACAGCAAACAGTAGGGCCGGCCTGTGACCCAAGTGGCAGATTGGCTGTAGTGGGGGGAGGGTGGGCTAGACTAGATGACCTTTGAGGGGTCCCACGCTGACCTTGCCGTGCTGTGACTTGGCGACCAGACCCAAACGGCAAGGAGCAGCACGCGCACACGAGAGGGAGAGAGAAACGAGCCCTGAGCGGCTTAGGCAAGATTTTCTTGGAACGAGCGATACATGCATGCATGAAATGAACCTGTATTATGACTGGTCCTACAGCATTGTGTGGCTGGTTGGGAGAATCCGGTCCGGGCCCCCAGCCCCACCCTCAGCAGCCTGGATCTGCGCTCGTTCCTGGATGGCAAGCCTCCCAACCAAGTGCCCCTGGTAAAGAGGTCATTCGGTCATTCGGTCATTCATTCATCTTTATTTATTCATTTATAATCCCGCCTCTCAGCTCGTGTCCTGCCTCATTGTCTAACCCGCTTCTGTTTATTTATTTATTTATTTATAATCCCACCTCTCGGCTCGTGTCCTGCCTCATTGTCTAACCCAGTTCTGCAATTTGGGTTCCAGAATCCCACCTCCAGAATATCGGGGGGGACGAAGACGGACAGGCTCCTTGATGTGTCCCGTGCGGCAGCATTCGAACTCGGCGCCCTCCCTCGGCAGTGGCGCTGCCAGAAGCTGCCAAGCTGATTAAAAAGCCAGTTCAAAGCACTCTCTTCCTGCCTTTCGACTGACTCGAGTTCTTGGTGTCAAAAAGTGTGGCCATTCACCATGAACCTGGTCGGTGGACAGCTTAGGATGGGGGGGGTGTCTGTTTGTGCAGCGCGAGAAATGACAGGATCGTTTTAAAGAACTCTTTTTAAAACTTTAAAAACCTCCCATCTGGTGGCTTGCAAACACTGGGGTGGGGGGAAGCAACCCATTTGAAGAAAAACACCAACTTAAAAAAATTTTTTTTTTTTTACTCTGTAGGACTCAAATGCTATATTCCTTCCCTCAGTATCAGAAATCCCTCCCCTTCTTTTTCAATTTTCCTTTTTCTAAAAAATAATTAATAATAAAACGTTTTCAAATGTTTTGGTATAACAGGTCCGCTCTGTTTGAAATGAACAACCCAGTTGGTCAGGGTCTAGAACAGGGGCAAGTGATTCTCAGAGTACTTGTGAACTTTGGAGGGCTGTCCCGGATCCCACCCACCCCAAATATTT